AGGTTTACCATTGCCTGCTGAGAGGCGACCGCTGTTAGAAAAAACGTTTTCTAATTTAGATGTTGCGCCTACTAGCGATCTAACCCTGGTACTACGGAGTAGTATGCACCTCTAGCCACTCAGCCACAGCGGGTTAGGTTATCTAAGATCTTCGATAAATTTTCATATAGCCATGGACTATTCCACGGGACAGCACTGGGCTGATCTTTTGGTCCGTAAGGTGCATATAGTATTAGAGGCCATATTATCCAAGCGTTTTCCTCTTCTTGCAAACTCCACATCAAATAGCATAATGGTTTTTGGTATTTCGTGGACGTCTCCGGAGACCTTCCTAGTTTAGGGGAAACCCCGACAGTGGTTAACTTCCAATGGGGCTTATATCTAATAATATCTCACACACCCACCATCAATTGGGCACACAATATTTCGATATTGGTAGTGTACTCATTACTGCAGGGCAGCTTTATGTAGGACGCTAAATGTTATTTATTTTTAGTGGAGTTGTTGTTTGAACGACTTACGTAACCTTGCTTATCTACTTAGTTCAAGCTATTAGTCGTCGCCATTAAGCTCAACTAATAATAATCCCAGGAAACTTAAGGCTTTGACGAGGTCGGATCAGAAGGAGGGTGGTGTTAGCCAGTTGGGCTTAAGGGGGTGAAGAAATATGTATTATTGTGTAGAGTGCCTTTAAAGCTGGACATCTGCTAGGTATGTCAGAGAGAAGATTTTCGCCCGCTACATTAAAAGAACGTTTCTGTGGAGTCGCAAGAGGCAACTGAAACTCTTCCTTTAGCTGGCGATAGAACTACGATGAGGGTATTCACGGGATGAAAGTTCAAAAGGTGGTGCCAGTCTCTGGGTGTATGCCGCTCAAGTCCTCTCTGTAGACTGTTTGATCCATAGGTTTTTTTTTTAAGTTTGTATGTGTGGGCCTTGTGAATAAGATCATAAGACATCGTTTAATGATAGCTTGTCCGTCTTTTGATAGTGAGGGAGAACACTGTTTTAGACCTATCGCTTAGCTAACTAGTTGCGTGAGTGGTGGTCGAATTTCTCATTTCGTCTTTATACCTACTTATGTATTTATGTTCGACAATATAGTCTGTAACCCCCAAGTATTCTTCAAGAGTAAAGTTAGCTTAACAAAACTCTGTATTGGGGTTAGAACCGTTATTGCATTTCAAAATCCTACAATTCAACAAATGTCGAAGAAGGCTCTCCACGAAGTTCTTTTTAAAACTTAATTGAAATGTTTTGATCATTTGTTTCCAACCAGCCCAGTCATTTCGCTCCGCGCTACGACATCGCCAACTGGGGCGTTTGCATACCAAATCTCTGCAGCAGTGAGGTAGTACAACAAATGGTCGAATCGAATCTGCGTGCTTACAATGCGACAGGTATAGAATTTCATGTGGAAGTCGATGACAATGATTGCTACACCCGATCAAATGTTAAGCTCATGAAACTCATTAAAAAGGATCGCAATTTCGCCCTGACAATGTATGGAACAGTTGTCACGTTTATAAGTGGACCTTAAAGATCTTAATAAAGTTTCTCTTTCATACACACATCATATGTAGCTTCAGTATTGGTGGACTTGTGGTACTATGCGTTGGTTCATTACTCAATGAATACCAGTCGAAAATAAAAGTCTGGGTACTTAGTAAATTCAAGAAGACTAAAACAGACTCAAACGGTGAAAGCGAAGGAAACAAAAGTACAGTTGAGGCGATTACTGATTCAACGGAAATCGAGAACGCAGCGGAAGATGGCATAGCTAGGGAAACAACACTGGAAACTCAAAGTGGAGACGGGAAGCCTGAACCATCCTATAGCGGTTAGTTCACTTTTTATACATATATTTATAGCATTGCCTTACGTATCTACCCATACATATACAGTACTTCAGTCTCTCATTGCCGTGCTTCGGGACACCGTAAGTACTTTCTCACCACAACGCACAGTTTCTGTATTGCTTGGCAGCGACTCTTCGGAAACGCAATTCCCGATCTTCAACGTGCTCAAACTGGGCGCCACATTCGCCCTCTATGTCAGTCTCAAATACATTATGATTGGACATCTTCCCATCATCAATCGGGATATTATGGTTCGGGCGTTGGAAAAACCACAGAGCATCCTGTTCCGCACACCAATGGTTTACATGGATATGCTTTTGATGGTAAGCGGCTTCTTGATTGCTTATCAACTGGCTGAAGAAATGGAGCAAAAATCGCATATTCAGCTGTTAAAGCGCATGGCTTTAAAGATCACAAGGTACGCAGGCACTTTTAGATTACCCCTAGCTTGGTCCGTCCAATTACCAACGCATCCTCGATCTCTTCGCCGCATTCTTAGATACCTACCTACTTTGTATGCGGTGTTGTTGTTCCAAACATATATTCTTCCACTGCTTGGCGCCGGACCGCTCTGGACGAATTTGATCGGCCAAAATACGCGTTTGTGCGAGCAACAGTTGTGGCGAAACTTTTTTAGCGTTCAGAATGCAATTGAATTTGAGGAGACTGTGAGTAAAAATGTAGTCCCCAATTCCATAGGGTCTGGTGTATTATAAAAAAAAAACACACACTTGTCAAATGTTTGTAGTGTTCGCCTATGTCCATACAATTGGCTCTTGAAGTGCAGCTCTATATACTGGGACCGTTGATCGTGTGGCTCTACTACACCGATGCAGATGCTGCATTCTTCATCTATGGTGCTCTGCATGCGATGTCTGTGGCAGCGCGTTACTCTCGCACACAACGCGAATACCTATCGACGACCTTGTTCCATGGCATGAAGTGAGTTCTCCTGGACATGAAATTTTTTCACAAATAGTATGCCTCTGATTTTTTCATTTCACAGCGTCAGCAAATTCTACCGCACGGCCAATTTGCTCGTCTCTTCACCGATAAGTCGCGCAACCCCCTACCTTTTTGGTATCGGCACTGGTCTGCTACATCGCTCTCAAGCCGGTGTGCTGGAGATCGCCAGCGAACTCATACCCGTTGGCTGGTTGTGCGCCTCATTGGGATTATTCTGGTGCTTCTGGTCACCCTCGGCGAGCATGCGCACCGATTTCGTTTATACAGCTGGCGATGCGGCATCTTATGCCGCTTGGTGTCCGCTAATACTCAGCTTATCTGTAGCTTGGTGTATTTTTATGTTTCCAAGGGGTGAAAAGTCCGTGCTGCATCTTCTTACCACAATGAGACCTGTGCTCTTCCTTTCACGCATAACGTTCCCCATACAGTTGATGACTTACGTGGTGGTATTGTACAACACTGCTGGTGTAAGTGAGCCACACAAATATCATCTAGGTGACTTGGTAAGTTCAGGAGCCTTCATTAAATTACGAAAAGACGTTTAACATAAAAATTTTACAGGTTAATTTTAATGAGGTCGCAGTAATTCTGATCAGTGGGCTAGCACTGGCTTTTCTAATCGATGTGCCTGCCCAACATATTCGCAAGGTTGTAATAAATCGTATATTTGTAGAACGTACGGCGCGCGAATATGAACAGGAAACCGAACCCGGCACGGGCGCTGAGGCCTCTGAACCTGAAGCTGAAGCGGATAACGAAGAGCAAATTGATCAAGCTAAAGATGACGTGGGAGATGATGACCCTGAAGTTAGCACGGAAGAGTTGGAAAAGAACAACAAAGTTGAAGTGGCTGATGAAGAGGAGAATAAGAACGAGGATGAAGAGGAAGAGGAAGAGGAGGAGGAAGAGGAGGAGGAGGAAAATACTGCAGATAAAGAAAGTGAGATATCTGAGAATGATGAAATTAAAAAACGACCAGAAAATGATAAAGAAGAAAACGTACCAAGCTATACACGAAGAAGACGACGAATAAGCGATGATTAGACAGAATGGAGAATGTGTTGATAGATGCTATTTCAGTAGAAACAAAAGACAACAATGGAAAAATCATTAGAGATAAGGCATACGATACAATAAAAAGAAACAAAATGGTGGTCAGAATAAAATGGGGCCCGTTACAAAAATTACATCGTTAGGGCGCAAGACCGAATGCATGTAGACTAAAATTTGATAAAGGCAATCCACACTTACATAGATACTCGTATGTATAGACGCAGGACTATTTTTGAACAAACATTCGTTGGATTGGTGTTCTTTAAAAACTCGAAGCGTAATTATTTTGGATTTTTTTTTTTTTTTTGTGATCCAGCCCATTATTGAAAGATGAGATGATAAGTCAAAACAATTGGTAATACGAACCCAAAAACGAACCCGAATTTTATTAAATTTACTTTCTTACATACATACTATGTATATATTTATTTTCGTAAAAATTTACTTACATTTTTTATATTTTTTTTAATCTTAATTAAGAATACACGAGCACATATTCAATTCATTCATTGAAATCTAACCTAGCGAAACTAGTATTTTTTATACAACGATTCTTTTTGGATAACATACAGCTCCTCCCTGACAATTTTTGTAACAACAAGATCAGAGACTATGTATGACTTATAGTGCGGCAAGTTTTATTACTTCCTAGTTGTATAGTTATTTGTCTAGACAACTATGAAAAATTTATACTTTTACAATTTATTCCTGTACCCATATGCATCAATAAATATGTATTTATTAGGGCTGTGCGATTAATTGATTATTCAAAATTTTAATTAATCATAAAGTAAATAACTCAATTATTCGATTAATTGGAAATTGTGATTACTCAAAAGTTCAATTACTCGAGTAACCAAGATTTTAATTAACCAAAAACAAAAATATATGAGTAATTTGCTTTATGATTAATCAACATTATGAGTAAAATGAGTAATCAACATTTCAAAGTACTGTTTACATATAAAGCAGTTGAAGTTCCTTGATACGTTGAGCACAATGTTTCTGTTTTCAAAAAATAATTTTTTCATGTACAGAATGTAAGAAAGAAAATAAGCATTTTCAAAAGCAAACTCATTTAACGAGCAAAATTAATTTTTTTGAGTAATCAAAATCTTGATTAATCGAGTAATCGATTAACCGGAAAACTGAGTAACCACCTTGGTCGAGTAATCGAATAATCGCACAGCCCTAGTATTTATGTACAAATGTACATATGAATATTTCTCATGTGTGTTTGTATAAAATCCTAAAAATCAAAATTAAACGCTATGTAATCATCACAAAATATTATATGTATGTCATAAAATACATAGTAAGAGTATCTATCATACTTACTTAGAACTATGTACTATAAAATATTTATAAAAAAAAAAAAAATTGAGTAGAAAACCATTTATTTTTGTATTTAGAGTATTTAACTACTTCGTTACGCCACCTGCTCCTCTGACGTGCTAGGACTTCGATTTTCCGTGGACGATGTGCGTTTCTCAGGACGTCCCGCTTTCCGCAACAATATCCGCTCCAAGGCATGTATGGGCGATTCAAAAAGTAGGCAAAGCACAAAGGCTAAAACGAATGTGTCTATCGTGTGACTAAACATGTCGTTCTCCTAAAAGATAAATACAAATTATTTAGCTAATTTGATCTTTACACATGATGCAAATAGCATGGATCTACATACTTATGTACATATGTATGTATATTCCTACATACATATGTAAGTAAATAATACAGCTTTTCCGAAATTTAAAAAAAAAACAACTCAGTTTACGGTCTGTGCCAAGTTGGTCGCTTAAGTCGTTAAATGGAATTTATTTTCCAAGAAATCCAAAATCAAATGAAACATTAATATCGTGCCGGATCACAGTGGTTTGAAACTGGAAAATTGAGTTCAAAACAACTAATACAATTTAGAAGAGATTCTTCGGGCCCGATTTTTGAAATATTGTAGCAATTTCGAAGAAAATCGATTCCTTTGAATGAATGTTACATAATAAAAACTAGTTGAAAAAAATCATAGGGTTCGCAAAACGAAAAATATTGCACAAGAAAAATTTGAAATATTATAGAAAAAGTTTCTCCGAAATTTAAAATTTAAAAACAAAATTGTTTTAAAAATTTGAACTTTTGGTGACCATTTTTTGCAACTCTGAATTTTCACGAAGTTTATAGAAAGTTTTCAACATTGATTTACTTGATTTTTGTTATTGAATAAGCTATATTTGAAATAAAAATTAACGAAAAAGATTTTTGTACCTACATATGTATATTGGAGGACGTTTTGAAGATCGTGAAAGAAAACTAAACAACGAATACTAAATACTTAAAACTAAAAAGTTAGTTATCTTTGAGTCATTCCCCATTTTTGACAGAGTGGCTTCTTTGATGCTCTGTGGTACTTTTTTTTTAATAAGAAGTCGTTCAGGAAAGGGCGGCGAAAGAGGACGGATGGGTACCCGGCAGTATTAGCTACTATAGCATCCGTATTATTAGGTTACAGCTTGAACTTAATAAGTTAATGTCATTGCCAACGGCAAATAGGTCACCATTTCGCGAGAAACTTTTAGAGGTTATATTACTGAAAGTTATCCTTACCAAGTTCACATAGGACTGATGGGTGGCATAACGCTGACTCGACGAGTGATATAACTCCACTATGCCATTCGACAAATAAGCGCAATAGGTAAGTCTACTGATGGGTGCGAAGAAGCGACTGCTTAGGAAATTACGCAACCAGCCGGCGTGGCCTGTTGTTGCTGCCATCACCAACCACGCCACCGATAAATTCCAAGCTAATTTATGAAATCCGGCATAAAGAAAACTCTCTACGTATGTATATGGACTCCGGTAGAACCGGCATATGGAGAACATGGCTGCAACGCCGATCAAAGTCGAAATAAACCAAGCGAGGCGTACAACCAAAGAGCGTAGTTTTGTGCTGGAATTAAATTAAATTAAAGTATGCAATTTTTTTTTTTGTTTTACATAATTTCTAATGTAATTGTTTATATAGTTTTGCCATATTTACCCTCGCTCCTGCATAATATGCACGACATAACCAGTCAACAAACCGATAAAATAAGACGAGGCACGCATATGTGTTTTTATATAATAACCAATGTAATATTTATTACTGGCCAAGTCGGTTAATTCGCTACAAAAATATAACAT